GCTCGGCTGTCCCGGCCCTGCTCCCTCCCAGCTTCTGGCGCAGCTGCTTCCTGGGATGCTGAAGGATCCTTCGCTGAGGATGAGTGCTGTGTAGGAACAGCTAAAACATCCGTGTGTTATCAACGTTATTCGCACACTAAATCCGAAACACAGCCCTGTACCAGCTACTAGGAAGAAAATTAACTCTATCCCAGCCAAAACCAGGCTAGGCCATAATAGGTCTCTTTTAGCAGTTAGGGATTGCCCGCAGGCCTGTTACCGTGGCTTTTAACTCCTCCCCATCCTATGCAGAATTCCAGTGTGAAACCTTCAGAAGTGTATGATTCTTGCTAACACGTGTTGTGGGTCAGTCATGGTTATGTAGTGAGGAGTAAAACATTTTTTGATACAAATAAATTATCTCACAGGTTTCGTTTTTTAATCTCTAAACCAAATCTGAATTTGTATTACGAACTTATAGAAGTGGTTTCAGGAATGTGTTTATGTAACATTATAAGAAAATAGCGTGAGGAGCTGGTTGTTCCAGTGATTTCCAAACAGTTGAGACATTTCTGTGGTTTGCTGCTGAAGTTTTGTTTCTGTGAAACAAATATTACTGTCTTATGCAACTTATGATACTTCTAGATCATTTTATTGTATTGTGTAGTTTTCAAATACCGTTTCTGAGGCCGTGTATTGCCGTGAGGTTGAACGTTCTGTCAGATCGTTTCTTGTTTGTTTTTTTTGTTTTGTTCTGCAGCGAGAAAGAGTTATCTGTTATGAATTACAAATATATGAAAGATTTAAGGAAGTGTTGTTTGAATACAAAAGCAGTACAAAAATTTAGACAGACTTGTTTGTTCTTTTATGATGGTTGTGGATATTCTTGTTGATCTCCAGAGTGTTGACCATAAAAAGAGTACTAACTTTTCCAGACCATCTGTAAGTGATGTGAGATGTATTTAAAGAAAGTTTACAGGTAGAAGAGTTGTATCTTACAAATTCTGAGATTGAGTCACTAAAACTGTAATAAAACTATTAGAAAAAAATAATTTTGGATTCCAAAATCTAGTGATGTGTGAAGAGAATGTTAAGGTATAATGCAGAAAAAACTTCTGTATCTTGTTATTTATATGTACTTCTCTTTTACCTTGCAGCTTTAGGTGATAAAATTGTGAGAGACATCCGACCAGGAGCTGCCTTTGAACCTACATACATTTATAGACTTTTGACGGTTATAAAGTCAAGTCTGTCAGAAAAGGTGTGACTTAAAAATCTTGGACTTTTGTAATTGCGTTGCAAGGCAGTCACTGTTGGTAAAACAATGTAAAGCCATGCATCAGGTTCTGCACCTCGATACCACTAAAATCGACTGGTTGATAGTTCGTTATAATGAAGCTAGACTGTCTTGGGACTTAAATTATGGGAAGATGTTAATTACAAGTTTAACAATTTGGTATGTCAGAATAATGAAAAAAATACTGTTGGAATGGAACGTCTCTTTTTATAAAGAAGATAATCTGTTGATTTCTATTTAAGAAATGAGCAGCTGTTGGTTTCTGCATGGGGTTCGGCTTGGAATGGTTGAAGGTCCACAGAGGCTTCAAAATACTTTTTCAGGTTGAGTTTCAATTCAAAGAAAAGATAATAGTTCAAACCATCTTTTTCTTTGGCCATGGTTTGACAGCAACTTTTAATATTACTTTTAAAAGAAATAGCAAAAACCAACCCCAACCCAAACCAACCAACCAAACAAAAACGAAACCCAAAGCCAACTCACATGTTGAATCAGATCTGTACTGAGAGGGATGCAGAAATGCTTGTATCCAGGTCAAACTTATGTGCGTACTTACTGCTTATGGCAGGTTCCCAAGTAACGTGTTGGTTCTGTTTGGACTGGTTAAAAATGAGGTGGTGTTATAGTAAAAATTAAACTATTTAACTTTAAGCTTAGGCTGAGAAGTTGCTAAATTAATAGGAGCAAGCTAGATGTTCAATTTCATGAACCTTCTGTTAAAATGTCATGTTAATTACTATTTCATAATAATTGAAAAACCCCATTTTATTCAGGGCAGGCAAGAGGATGCTGAAGAATACTTGGGATTTATCCTCAATGGACTGCATGAAGAAATGCTGACCCTAAAGAAACTTCTCTCTCCACATAATGAAAGTTAGTGGATATTTTTTTTTAGCTAACTTAATTTCTTTCAAATATTTTTTTTCTGTGGCGAATCTGTAATAGAGAGTAATGTTTGGAGTAGATGTTGAGATAGGGATAGAATGCCATGTTTTAGGGGACTCAAAGGTGTTAACAGCTAACCTTTCGTTAAAATCTGTCCAAAGGATAAAATTGAGTCCGTTCTGTCCAATTTACAAATGATCTGAAGTGTTACTGGGTATTTGAAAAAAGCGTTATCGTTCTGTAAATACTCTGAATGACAATAATGATGTCATATGCCTGGTCCTCCTAAACAAGAAATTTCTGTATTACAGATTTTTACTGAGCTCCACTCAGCATTGTTTGAGGGTAACTCAAGTTGACTGGTCTGGTCTTAAGCATAGCTGTGTCTGCCTGCCGTCCGTAGTACCTGCAGTGTCGGTTCTTTACTGGGGTTTCGGCTCTCTCCATGGTAGTTCAAAAATGTATCAGTGTGGTTTTTTCACTGATCTTTAAACCACTTTTAAGATCCCTTTTTGAAGTGGAAACTTCTAGACTAATGGCTGATTTATATCTAATAGAAACCAGAACATATTATTTTAAAAGTCTTACTACAAGGTTGGAGAAAAATTGTCTTTGGGAGAATTTGTATGCAGAGTAAAATGCCATTTTCTTTATGTTTGAGTCCCCTATTAAAAATGAAACAAAACACTGTTAGTCTTAGCCAAGTATAGAATTAGATCGCCAGTTACCCAGTTTCTCCTTAGTACAGTAATTTTTTTATGATACGAAATGATCGTTCCGTATTTTGTTGTTAGCTGTGTGCGGTTTATAGCCTCCTGACTCTGGCCACTTGCAAAGAAAATATTTGCTAAGCCTTGGGTTCCCTGTAAAACCTCTGTGCAGAAAAGGAGTTGTATTTAATAATGGCATAATTATGTTTCCAGGATAACACTTGACTTTCTAATTTTCTGCCCCATAAATTTACTACTAAAAATATATCGAACTTTACTAGAAAACTACATCTGTTTACATACAGTCATCACTGAGCTGCGTTCTGTTAATACTTGGATATGTCCAGCTATGAGTGAGCCTGGAATATACTTGTTCTCATTTACTTTCTCAAATCTGTGATCTGTGAAAGCATTTTATCGGCTGAAAATTATTCGTATTGGGTTTTTTGCCTTTCAAATTCTTCCTCTGTATACATGTTTTATTTGTAAAAAAAAAACAAAACAAAACAAAACAAAAATGCTTTTTCCTCTTCATTTTAAGAACTCTCAGTTTCCAATGGCCCTGAGGCTCAGACTGTTCATGAGGAAGAGGAGCAAGACGAACAAGGGGAAGGCAGCGAGGATGAATGGGAGCAAGTGGGACCTCGCAACAAATCGTCAGTCACTCGACAGGCTGACTTTGTGCAGACTCCAATTACGGATATTTTTGGTGGACATATAAGGTACTGACACTGTAGGCTGCTCTGCCTTTACAGATAGCTTTTTCCTCTGCTTTGCTTTCTGTATTTTTCACCGTTATTGGGTAGTTGGATGGATACGTTTTGTTCAGGCCAGAAGAGCTGAACATTCTACCATGAAGCGTTTGTTACACAACAGAGAGTTCAGAAGATGAGTGGGAATGATCAAAGGACTGATCAATGATCAAATGATTCTGTGGCTTATTGTAGGGTCTGTTTAGAGAACAAAAGCCCTGAATTGCCTATAGAGAAGGAGTTTGAAAAATACAGGCTTTAGATATTACTGTCTTAAGAATTCAAAGAACTTTAGAGCTACCTCATTTTTGTCAGCTCTGAGGAGTCTTGACTCATGTGGTGAATAAGGAGACTGAGGAATAGTGACATTTGCAAAGAGTTAAAATTTGGTCAGTGGAAGAATGAAATAAAAAATTGTAAACTTTTGGTTGTTTAAACATTGAGGCTTCCCAGAGGCAGGAAAGTTACCTGTAATAGCTAATAAAGGTTAAAGACATAAGAAGTCTGGAAAGATGTAGGTTACTGCAAGATGTTACAGGAATTAAAAGAACGTGGTACATTACTTATATTCACTGATACCAGATGAAGACAGAAAGTAGATACTGAAAGAATGTTTTTTGGAAAGGAAGCCTTGTGACTTGTTTGAAGAAATGTGTCATTTAAAATGAAAGCAAGGTAAAGGCTTGCTAAAAATATATTCCAAAACAAAAATGCTAGACTCGAAGAATTATTTTTAAATTGGAGACAGACACGTAATTGCTAGTGTTTGCCTCCCTGTGTTGCCAGGTATTCGGTCTAGAGGTGTGAATCATGTGGGCTAGTGCCTTCTGCCTGTGAAATGCGCTGAAGTTATTCGTCTGGGATTTGAGTCAGCTGGCAAATAAAATTATATTTTCCGTAGAAATCAGCAGACAGATGTTTGCAGTTTGTTTGTTCATGTACCCAAGGTGTTGTTTAATACCCTCAGTGTATTTATCGTGGTCAGAATTGTTGAGATCTCTATGTGATTCCACTAGTTTTTAAATTAACGCAGAGAACTCTAGCTTCCGTAGAAGTCCACAGAAAAGGACGTAAAGCAAAGGTGATACTGAAGAAAGGCAAAAACTTGCACTCAGTGACAGAACCACAGGGTCCAATCTGACATCTGCTGCCTGCCCTTACCACACCCACTTTATTTAGCCTCCAAACCAGGTCACACAATTCACCGCAGAAACAGTGTCACATGTTGTGATGTTGGAAAGCTTCATCCTCTGAGGCTGAGGGTGGAGATAGGAAGGATTGAATACAGAATTGCCAGTGGAATTCCGCTAAATGAAAGCATCAGAAACGGGAACAAATCAAATGGAGAAAGCAGCTAGGAAAACGTGGTTTGAATTGGCATCTTTGGGCTTGGGAAACTTTAGGCTGTCCTCTCGAGGCTTTAATTGTCTACTGAATGCGTATTTAGGCATAATTGCCTAAAAAAAAAAAAACCACCAAAAAGTCTTCCTTGAGCAGTGTGGGAGTTACACGTGTCAGTATGAAGATACACAGTTCTGTCAGGATCTGGTTTGTTCACGTGCAGGCGTCCCTTTTGCCTTTCAGCTTGTGTGAATTTTAAATATTTGTTACGGGAGCTAGCTCGCAAGCCAGTTAGGAGTTGGCTAAATATTTTCCCAAGTAGTACCAGCTTTTCACTTCAATGCACCGTTATTTGAAAAGGAAACACATCAGTTATGTTGTTGTAGTTTAAGCAGGGTAGCAGTGGGCAATGCCTCTTTTCCTGAAAAGCTCTTACTGTAGGGTTCGTACAGTACCCGAGAGTAGTTATTCCTTGAAAATGACACGTTTTCCCTTGACCAATTGAAATTTATAATTATTCTAATAAGTGAAGTTGCCATACAAAATCATAGTCCAGCAGAGGTTTTTGTTATCAACTCCATTTCTGCATATCTTTTTGAAGAAATGTTACAATTTAATTTCTAATAATTAAAAAAAAAAAAAATTCCTTAACATTATCTTTTCACAATATTATCCATATTATTAATTAAATCTTTAACACATGGACTTGAAAACAGTTGGGAGTTGTTAGGATTTTTCTGTTGATCATTGCACTAAATAATGGTTAGCTTAAAAAGCTAATCCAAAAGCAGCAAGACTTCCACAGTGAAGGGTTGGTTTGTTGAAACGCTGCTTGCCATGTGCTGAAGGTTTTGTCCTTAAACACAGCCGAGGAGGAAGTGCTAAACTGAAATAAAGATGCTACTGTTCTTCATACGCTCCCTTTCCTCTCAAGGATATATATTTGCCAGTATAAAGATGCATTGGCTTTCTGCTGGTGCTTCAGGCTTTGCCCGAGTCAAAGGGGCTCTTTTGCCGGCAGTTTGCAGTACAGGCGTCGAACCTGCCTGTTAACAGTTTGTACCTGACCTGGAGACGTTTCGGCATGGCCACGTGGGTTAGAGCTGTGCCAGCTATCTGCTGCTTTCAAGCTTTGTAAGGCACTGTAGCGAGTGTAACAATCTCATACGTGAGTGATGTCTTTGGCTGTAAAAACCCACGGTTTTAGTGGTTTAGCAGCTGGGGCGTCTTTAATGTAAGTACTGCTTTTAAAATAAATAAAAAAAAGCAATAATCTTGAGCAACATTTGATGGTTTTAAATTTTCAGCAGAGTTTAAGAAAAATGAAAGTCGGGAAGAGTCCGCTTAGTGCAGCGAGGTCGTGTGTGAAGGGTGTGCTGTCTCATTGCACGAAACAGTGATCACCAAGCCAGGCTATGTAGGGGCTGCAACTGAATCCACTTCAAACAAAAAAACAAACCAAAACAAAAAAAACACCCAAAAAACCCCCAGGAAACACGTTCTCATGCCCTAGATTGTCACTCCTGCCAGTTTTCCGAAGGACTCCAATTTATGGACAAAGAGTACAAGGACAAAGTCTGAACACAGAAAATGACGTGAGGAAAAGGAAATGCCAGTCCTTGATGGAGCGTAGTTTATATTTCCTATGGCAAGATTTAAGCAAACAATTTAAAGTCACTGTGAAATTGGTCTTAGTGAAGTGACTGAAAAATTAGTGTACTTTTATTGGAGAATCTGGAATCAGTTGTAATTTTTGCAGTAGAACATACAGTTAGATCAGCACTAGTGTTTTGCACTTCTGAAAATCTGCTGGAAAACATAATTTCAAAACCAACACAAAAAGAGTCTGGAGGTGAATGTTTTTAAATGCAGTATCAAAAATTTCATTATTTTCTTTAAACTTTTGATGCTTATTCAATAACCATTTTAATCCTTGCATAAATAAACCGGTTCAAATATAATCCCGTTCATTATGCTCGTAAGTGGATGTGAGAATCATTTAAATTGCAGTAAAGTGGATTCAGGTTGTTGAAAATTACACTTAACCTTTTTGTGTGCGTTGTTTTGGATTAACTATGAATCGAGTTGCTAAAGTAGACTTCAGTCCTGTTCTTACTTGAAGGCTGCGTAGTGTTGAAAATTGCCCTGCTTTATTACATTTTAACTTTTTTGTTTCCACAGATCTGTTGTTTACCAGCAGAGTTCTAAGGAGTCTGCTACGCTGCAACCTTTCTTCACCCTGCAACTGGATATCCAGTCAGACAAGATACGCACAGTTCAGGATGCGTTGGAAAGTTTGGTGGCAAGAGAGTCTGTCCAGGGCTATACCACAAAAACCAAGCAAGAGGTGTGTTCTGTTGACCTCTTTTTATAGTCAAATACTAAACTTTTTCAAAGGGTTTGGGCTTTTTTATACAGCTCTTGCTTTGCAAGTAGTTGCTTGAAGACTATTACTTAGGTTAACAAAAGAGGCTCTAACCTTTTCAAAGTGTCCTGCAGCAGTAAAATGTGTTGCCCTTGACCACAAACACTGAAAGGAGGAGAACAAACTCAAAACCATGCCTGTAAATAGGTGCGTTTTCTGAGTTGGTCTAGTAGTTGGTTGGAGATTTAACTGGAGTGTATATTAAATGAACAGGGTGACCTGTGGTAGGAATCCATACTGTTATGAGGAAAACGGCTTTTAGCTGATCCTAACCTACTGGCTCCTGGGGACTGCCAGATGTTCTTACTAAAGGAGCAGCTCTAGCTTTAAGAAGAAAACTCTTGTAGCAAAACACTTGCATGATTGTGTGGCTGTCCTCGGTGAGGTTTGATTGACACAGATCAAAAATGAAAATACTCATTGGTGGTAGGCCTGGCAGAAGTCCATCTAGAACCCTCACTAAGTCGTCTGATGATAGCTATCTTTCTCTCTGGAATAATAATCTGAAATGTTTCAGTAGCCGGTAACACCTCCATTCGCTGTGATCATCCACTCCAGATGAGAATACGGTCAGCCAGCGAAATGATGGACAGCTGAGATTTGTCTGCCTGCTATGCTCAGTAGGAGTGTTAGGGAACATTTATTTCTCCAGTTGTCTTCCATGTGAAAAACATTTGCAGTGCAAGCTCATCATGATTTACCACATAGATTTTGTTTTGCCAGTCATTCATTTTTTGGTTTTCACTGCAGATGGTTTTAACTTCTTTACTGACAACCCAGCGTTCAATTATGGGGTTTGGAAGAAATGGGTGTTCCAAGTAGGTGCTGGAGGTTTGGTCTGGCTTAAATTTTAGCGTCTGAATGGAAATGCAAGCATTCGCAGTATCTTTTAGATCTTTTTTCAAAAGAAATTCAAGTTGAAATAGCTGTTCTTCTATTAAAATTGTAGTGAAAACATTGAACACGTTGACTGTAGAACAAGCGTAGGACTGCAGATAGTAATTTTCAGGATGTATTGTGAAGAAGTATTTGATCTCCGTTTTACAGAAGCGGAACTCAGGACTACTACTGGTAAAGCTAAAAATCATAATTATGTTATTAAAAATTATTACTGTCTTCTGATTGTTTTAATCTGGATTGTATTCTTTACAAGTCGTGGGCATAAACGATAGCTATGAAAAGAATAATCTTCCAAATATATGTGAATGTTTTCTCTTAAAGTGTGTTTTTTAATCACTTTGAGCTGATTTTATGTGTGTATTAATATAAAAAGGAAATCAGTCAGATTTTCATGCCGTTTTTCAAATAATTAGGTGTTTGAAATGAAAATAGGTGTTTAAAGTGGAGTGGCGTTCTCTTGCTGTTTCTGACTCTATTTTACTTGCTCACTAGCATTTGAAGAAAGTTCTTTTGGTTCCTCCTGGTCTTGCAGATCAGTTTGTTAAATCTTGAATATTTCATCAGGTTTTTTTAAAGGCCTTAATATTTATCCCACACTGAAGTGATTTTCTTTTCAGTGTCTTATTCCTGTTTGCAGACCTGTCCATGTTTTCTCACAAAAGTGAAGACTTTTGAGTAACGCTGGCCTTACCTCATTTACTTTTCCAGGTTACCTTCCACGTGCTCCTTAGAAGGAGCCTTCCCATCCCCTGGAGTTTCTCAAACTGCTCCTTGAGGATCTTACAAATATTTTCTTGGGACTCTGACTCACTTTCACTACAGAAACATTTGTCGGCCCCTTCAGCTGGTAATGTTGCTGCCAGAAGCCGGGGCCCCTTCAGGCAGTCGGGACAGCAGAATGTGCTGATCCCTCAGCCGCTGCTCCTCCGTCTGGCACCATAACACAGCAGCGCTTTGGTCGGCAGTTTAAGCTCACACGGAGCCGCGCAGCTGAGGTGGAGGCATCTGTTCCCCTCCGCCAGCTTGCTTACTGCGGGGGGGGAACAGCCACTGCTTAAACCACAGGGATGTTCCTCAGCATCCTCTGTTCCCCGGCTGGGCTGGGAGCTGTTAGGTTCTTTTTGCACAAAACTCTTGAATTCAGAGACTTCAGATTTGAGATTTAGAAAACGGAATATAGGGAAATCTTGAGGTAGTAATAATGGGGTGAATCAAGTGCATATTTTTTTTTCCCTCCATATAAAACCTCTCTGGATTTACTCCAAGAAGCTGAAGCTGTTCCATGCGAAGGTGCATGGAGGATGCACGCTGTTGTGAGTTCATGGCAGAATTGTGTGAACCTCATGTCGTCACCTTCACTTTCACAGTTTGCCTTCTCACTTCTTACTCTGCATGTTGTTTCCTGCAAATCGAGGAGGTGGGCACCAGCAGGACGTCCGTGTTGAACGGAAAAGAGCAGGGTCCTGTTTGGCTTGCTGGCTTGAAAACAAAACAAAAAACTTCTCGGCGCTCAGTGAAGCTGCTGCTCTTGCCGGGCGTTTGGTGGGTTTTGGATGCAGAAAGGCATCTGTTGAACCCTTAAGATGCAGGTGAAATTTTACACAGTTCGTAGAGACTGTTTCTGCTTCAAGTATAGAATTACTTCTTGTAAATTGGGCCAGCTCAGATCCATGAGGAAATCAAGTACCCTACAAAATCTGCTTCCTTCAGTGTCCTAAGAGGTTTCACTTCTCAAGCTTGGAAAGAGACAATAGTTTTTTTCCCATGAGTTTCTATTCCACACTTAGTAGGTTCTAGCAGAATCAGGCCCTGTATTGAAAAACAACATGCTGATGATGTACAGTAAGGAGACTTTTCTCAATAAAAAAAATGAGAAAAACCTAAAGCCGTTATTTTGAGAAATGTTTTTATGTTGTAATTTCTAGGAAGGCAAAATATTTTTTTCCTGCAATTCCGAGTTCAGTTTCAGGTTTTTAGACAGTAAGGTTGGGTATTGTTTGGTTACAATCATACAAAAATACGATATTTAGTAGAAAAAATGAGGTTATAACTTTTTTTATGACATTTTTCTCTTTGGATTTTCTTCAGAACCTTTCAAAGAACCTTTTTTGGATAGGAAAAAATTTTAATTGCTGATCTCTTCCATAACAGCTGATGGCTTCCTCATTTTTAGGTAGCCTACATAACTGCTCGCTTTCTTTTTCAAGGCACTTGAATGACAAATATCTCCTGGTTAATGCAAAATAATTTTTGAACTGTTGCGTGCTGGTCTCTTAATTCCCTTTGTGAATAGGACTTTATTTTAATGATGATGCTGTGAGAAGGTGGTTTTCAACAGTGATTTAGGGTTGTTTCGGTGAGAAGGGGTCAATAAAGATAGCACCAGTTAAAAATGGAGAAGTCCAGTGCAGAAACCAGTATTTCAGTGGGGGGTTGCAAGGTATGCTCAGGGCACTCTTCGAAAGTGACACAGCATTCGAACTTTTTAGCAAAGGAGTTGCAATACTGCTGTTGCCTTTCAGTCAGTATTCCTGGAGCATTCTGTGAAATTTCTCAAGATGAATGTAAAGTTAGGTGTTTACACCAAAACCTTCATTTTAGGTTTTTTTTTTTTATAGAGGTTCTGTTTTGATTATGGTTAATTTACCTATTGAAAATTGAGGAGAGATTCGGTTTAGTTCCTATTTTTCCTCTGGTCATCTTTTTCTGAAAAGGTGTCAGCTTCTAGAGATGAAAACAGCTTTTCACAACCTTTCGCATCAGGTGCTGAGGTGTGGTGCTGTTGTCTTCTGCAGCTCAGATCTCTCTGAAATCAGCATGTGTTACAAGTCATTGACCTTGGATTAGAGTAGCACAGCTTGCTAAGAATTATGAATCACTAAACTGTCAGGAGGAAGGATCTTGAGCAAGGTGCTTTTAATACTGTACTATCTAAATACATCTCATTCTAACACATTATGTTCTACTAAAAGTACGTAGTTTTTTAAGAGAGCACTTTGGTTGAAGATCCAGTGTGCTTTTAGGCATAAACTGCAGTGCTTATCGTAAGTTAATATTATAATAACAACCACAGATCTGTGCTTTTTCTGCTAATGTGTTTAAAATTACTTGTTCCTCGATTAAAGGAGTAATTTTGAACAGTTAACAAAAAATTACAGGTTTTCTTCATCTTTGTTCTGTGTTAGGTGGAGATCAGTCGAAGAGTGACGCTAGAAGAACTCCCCCCTGTTCTTGTTTTACACCTCAAGCGGTTTGTGTATGAGAAAACTGGTGGATGTCAGAAGCTAATCAAGAACATTGAGTATCCTGTTGATCTGGAAATTAGTAAAGGTAAAGATTTCAATTTTTGAGCAGAATTTTCCCCTCTTCAGAGAAAAGATCACGTCGTGTTTCCTTGCGGTATCTGTGTTTCAGTTTTCTTCTTCTGCACAAGATTTCTTCTCTCTTCAACAAGTTGTTGTCTGGAAACTTAGTAATTTGGATTAATACCTTGTATGCTGCTTTTTTTTTTTTTTTTCTCTTTCATTAGAAAGGTATATTTGGGTTTCTGAGTTCAGTCTTGCCAAGCTTGACATAGCCTGGGTATGATTTTGTGTATCCATTTTGTAAAGGACATTACAGCAAAAGACCTTGAAACCTTTGGCACATCGTAGGCATTGGGTTAGCCAAATAAGAGCTTCCTGCAGATTTCAGGAGTAAGGTTATAGACTGCTGAGGACAAATCTTGGAAGTGATCCTGTGGAATGAGGGGTATGTCCCTGTACAAGGCTGTTGCCAAGTAATAATAGGTATTTTTACCTCAGATTTCATTCAGAGAAGTGGCAAGTTGCTGTAATAAACAGTGGCTGAGGAAAGGAAACTGGCGTTTTGTAGGAAATGCAGCCTGCGGGTAGGCAAGGCGTGGTTCAGAGCTTAAGCAACAGAGTTCTTGCACTTAACAAATAATCCTAAGAGGTAATGATTTTAAAAAGCGTGAAGAGCTCGCACGTTATCCAGGATCTGAAGCTTGCGTTTTGTTTGGATCTTCCAAACTGTTAGCCAGCCAGTAGCTCAAATAGGAAAAAATAAATAAAATTAATGATTACTCATATCTCAAGTGAGATACGTACTTTGTCACACAGTACCCTTTAGTTTTACTTCATGTTTTATCTAAAAAATTTCCCTAAAGAATGTAAATTTGTAGAACTAGTTCAATTTGCCTTGACTGACAAAAGTGATTGTTGTGTGACTTGGAATCTGGAATTGATTTTGTCATTGTCTGACAGCCGGAATGAAAGGAAAAAAATGAGTAGTCTGATCTTTTGCCCTCTTTATTCTTTCCCCCTCGCCCTCTTCAGGTTTTTTTGGTGGTATTATTCAACTTCCCATGTTAAGTGTTCAGCAGACCTCAAAATTCATTCCCTTGGTTACCAGGTGTCAGAACCTGACTATTCTTTAAAGGCGGCGGCAGATGTTTTAATTAAACTTTCTCCTTTATGGTAGGGTTGGTTTCTCTGAGAAATAATTGATCCCTTTGAAATTGAATTTCTGAACTTGCTAACTATTGCCTTTGTGACTTTTTTTTCCCTCCTCCAGAGCTACTCTCTCCTGGTGTGAAAAGTAAAATTTTTAAAGGCCAAAGAACCTACCGGCTCTTTGCAGGTATTTTATCTCTATTTGCCTCTAGTCCCTGTATTGCAAATGCAATTTTTACATGCAGGATTCTAGAACCACTGCAGTTTCCTGGATTGTATAAAATATTTTCTTTTAAATTACACTGCGGTGGCTTGTGGGTGTCAGTTTTTTGTGTTTAGGGGGGTTTTTTGCATATATGCATATACATATATATTGTTCTAGCTGTATTTACGTATCTCATAGATCCAGCTTTGTGCAAAACGAGAGTTCTGTAATAGAGCCACCCTGAAAAATATCAGTAGAAGCTGAAATAGAGCTGTATATTCCATTATACCTTGGAATAATGTTTCAAATGTCTTTTGAAATGGCTGTTTGAACGCTGGCTTTGCATCCCTTTGAACCTTCGGGAGGGGTGTTGCTGGCAGGGTGTGAATAGCTTATCGTAGGTGGAGAAGTTTAATTCGGAGGAGATGATGATTTTTCCGTGGAGAAGCGGGGTTTGTAAGAGTGTCTGCGGTGGATGTGAAATACCGAAATTGGTAGTTAAGATTGGAAGCTCACGTAAGAGGAATGCAGAAGCAGCATCTTAGCGTTGAACAAGACAGTCTCTGGGCAGCAATGAATTTCCTGCAGTTTAAAACTCCTGCACAGCTGAGGATTTGCACCTGCTTGTTTGCGTTGGCAGCGGGTGAACGTAACAAACAGGAGAACCGGAGGTCTCGACCTCGACATCACCAAATCCGTGCCAGTACTGGTGGCCTGATGTGACTTGGTGGTTTGGCTCCAGTTTTGTGACCGCTGAGGTTACAGAAGGGATTAACATACCTGTCTCTTGTGGAAATTCCAGACTGGTTCTGGCAGTGTAACCTTTTTTATTGATAGTGGTTCTCACGGGACAACTTTAGACAGCGTAGTTAGGGTGGCTTGAAGAAAATGCGTAAAAACAGCTGTAATTTTTTCAGACTCCTTCTGTGGAAAAGTACAATATTTCACTCCTGTCAGTCTAGGACTTCTCATCCACAGAAACTGAGCTTGTTAGATGAATTTTAAATGACTAAAATAAGCTTTTCAAGAATTTAAAGTTTCAGATATCATCCAGGATTTGCCTAATTATCTAACAATAAATTTTAGAAAACCAATAATTCAAGTTTAAGCTACTGTAAAAAAAAAAAAATTATTTCCTAAATTCCCATAGATAGATAGATGTGCTATAGTCTGCCTTTTTGCTTTGCTTAAGTCACGTTATTCCAAAAGTGTTTATTTTCATAGAAGTGTGAAGAAAGTCTCAGTAAGCTTGAAGTGTGACTC